TATTTTTAAGAGAGTCAGTGATCCAAATAAGATTACAAATCAATGTTCTACAGGAGTAAAAGAAAAAAAGAAGAAAAGACAAAAAGTGTTTTATACACTTAAACGTATTTAATCCTCGTAATAACCCTGAAAACTAAGCATCAGCATCTCTGTTTTATAGATGGAGACATGGGGGCTCTGAGCAGTAAATTCAATATTTGCTTAGATGCCTGACATTCACTTACAGCTTCAACTCACAGTCAGGAGGCACCAAAGGGATTATTTGTCCATTTTCATTCCCTCCCCTTGTATAAAGGAGGAAACTGAGGCCCACAGAAGTGAAGAGAACCGGGCCCAAAGTCATGTGGTCAGTTTGCAGCAGAAACAGGTTAGAAACTGAATCTTGTGATTTGACCAAAGCCTTTACCAACCCACTGCTTTGCTTCTGAAAAACGAGTACCAGTTTTGTCAAATGTGAAATTGAATTCTTTTTATTATTATTATTATTTTTTGAGACAGAGTCTTGCTCTGTCGCCAGGCACCAGGCTGGAGTACAGTAGTGCGATCTCAGCTCACTGCAACCTCCACCTCCTGGGTTCAAGCAATTCTCCTGTCTCAGCCTCCCAGGTAGCTGGGACTACAGGCGCACACCACCAAGCCCAACACATTTTTTTTTTCTATTTTTAGTAGAGGCGTGGTTTCACCATGTGATTCTCCTTCTTCTACCTGCCCTCAAGTGTGGTTGGGTCCTACAGTCCCGTTTCATAGTCCCCATGGACCGTATGCCCCCTAGAATAAGCTGTTAGCCTTAGGAACACATAAATGCATGCACAAAAAGATCCCATGTGCTAAGAGGCTAAGAATCTCCAGTGAGTGGGGAGAAAGATATCAGCTCAGAAATTCCTTGGGTGGGAAATGTCTTCATAGCCTCTTGGGGAGCAAAGGAAAGAGCTTGAAGGACTTTAGCCGTGACACCCCTCTCAGCGTGGTGGCCAGGCCCTTCATCCCTCAGCACCTGTCTACCTCTCAGTGGTCATTTAGAACATTTGCGCCTTCATGTCTTTGCTTGGGTTCTCCTGCTGTGTGCAATCTCACAAACTATGCCTCCTCCAGCCTCCTGGGCTTTGCATATGCTGCTCTCTCACTTCCCTTCAACGGGAAAACCCAGATTCCTCTTTGGCAGTCTTCTGTTTACTTGTCAGTATTCCCTGCTCAGATGAGAAATTCCTTGCCTCACGGTAGCAGTCAGTCCATAGAGTGGCATGGCAGGGGCACCTGAGCCCTTCCTGTATTTGCCCCTTCTTCCTTCCCCTGTCTGCTTCCCTATTATGCCAGAGAGCTAGTTCTGTGCAGCAGAGGTCTGCCCTGGTTGTGTGCAGCTGCATTCTCTCCTCTTGCAGAAGCAATTCCCTGTCCTCTTCAAGCCCCCTTTTCTTTGTAACATGGGAGCTCATTCATTGGGATCTCATGGAGGCCCTCAGCCTCGTGCAGAGTTTCGTTCTTAAAATTGAAGCAAAATCTCTGAGATTGTGGAGGAAGAGGTTTCCTTTGGGCCTGTGGGCTCAGGTGGGCTGTGCTGAGCTTTACCTGAGGGAACACACTGCCCACGAGGATCACATCTGTGGGCAGGGCCTGCCTCCGACACCCTCCTTCCCAGCTCACCGAGAGCCCACATTCTCCAGAGACCCCCCTGTGGACTCTGGTCTCCCCTCATCAGTGCTTGTGGCTCCGCAAGCTTCTCACTAGGAGCATTCGTGGTTGAAACTCTCACAAAAATAGCTTCAAGCTGGAAAGAGGAAAATAGAATAAAACTCTGGCCTCTCCCTGCCAAAAAAAAAACAAAGCAACAGTGTGTGAGCAAGTAGCCTAGTCCGCTGGCAATGGATGCTCACAGCAAGGCTCAATCATTTCACCCTCTTCAGAGCCTGTGTCTGGGGTCATGTGCCATTAATTAATTAATTGATTGATTAATTGATTGATCAAATCCTCTGAAGTCACTGAGAATTCAACCTTGTGGTTTGGACTTGGGATTGCTCCATGCTCCTTGGTGTCATCTTTTGGGTCACTCCTGAAAATGGGACAACTCCCTGAGTCTCCCCTGTCCACCAGACCTCCCCAGGTCCACACTGGGGAGGAAGGATTGCACAAACAGCTACTTGTTTAATGGGAGGATCATAAAAACACCTCCCACTCACTGGAATTTCAACTGTGCCTTTTGTTAACAATTAATAATAATCAGTAGCTGGCTATCAATTTGCTCTCTTGAATTTCCTATTTTTTTTTCTTTAAACAGGTAAAAGAATGTAGACCTGGTTTAAGCTGAACAAAGCCAGAATCCTCAAATCCATACGGGCACAGGCATATGTGAGCCCTGAAGCAATCCAAATGCATCTAAATATTCTTTGCTCTATCACAAATGGATCTAATTTTTTTTTTCTGAAATGGAAGCCAGAAATCCAATGAAGCAGTTCAAATTGTAATTTAAGCTATAGATGTTTAAAAAAATTTATGAAGCTGCTAAACTGGAACGAGGCAGAAGTATCAGAGAGACTTCCAACTAATTGAACAGTCATTTCATTTGGTTCCTGTCCCTGATAGGAGTGTTCTAAGGCCACCCGCTGGATCCCTGTTCTGCATCTGACAGTGTAGATACCAGCAGGACATTTTCCAGCCTAATGTAGTCATAGGTGAGTTTGCCTTGGGAGAGAGACTTTCACACTTTGGCCAAGTCTGGAAAACTGATCACTTTCAGTCCTTCTTGTTTAAAGTGAGTCACCTTGGTGGGTCTACAGATGGAATTGTGAGACTGGGAGCTGAGGGGTATAGCTTTGACACTGCCACTAACTTACTGTGTGACCCTGGGCCAGGCCTTCCTCTCCCCTTGATGGTCTGTTCATTTGGGAAATGAGGGCATTAAGCTACCTGATCCAGCGGGCCTGTGGGCCTGTGCACCTGTGGTAGGCAGAGTAAAGGCCCCCAAAGATGTCCCCATCCTAGTCACTGGAACCTGTGAATGTGTGACCTTTGAAGAGGTTATTAATAATATCGAGGTGGGGAGGTTATCCTGGATTATGCAGTAGGCCCAATGTCATCAAAAGGGTTTTTTTTTTTTTTTAAAGGCTGAGCAGGGGGCCTCACACCTCCCAGCACTTTGGGAGGCTGAGGTGTGCAGATCACTTGAGGTCAGGAGTTTGAGACCAGCCTGGCCAACATGGTGAAATCCCATCCATACTAAAAATACAAAAGTTAGCTGGGTATGGTGGTGCATGACGGTAATCCCAGCTACTTGGGAAGCTGAGGCAGGAGAATCACTTGAACCTGGGAGGTAGAGATTGCAGTGAGCCAAGATTGTGCCACTGCACTTCAGCTTGGGTGACAGAACGAGACTCTGTCTAAAAAAAAAAGTTCTTTAAAAATGGAAGAGGGAAGCAAGGAGAGAAGTCACAGTTACAGGGAGACATGCCTGTGGAAGAAGGTTAGATTTGTGACAGGAGAAGGACTTAACCCATCATGGCTGCCTTTGAAGGTGGAGGAAGGGGCTGCAAGCCAAGGAATGGGGGCAGCCTCTGGAAGCTGGAAAAAGCAAGGAAAAGGAGTCTCCTATAGAACTTCTAGAAAGAAACGCAGGCTTCCTGACACTGGATTTTAGCCCAATGAGACTGTGTCAGACTTTTGGCCTATTGAACTGTAAGATAATACATTTGTGTTCTAAGCCACGAAGGTAATAGTTATTTGCAATAGCAGTGATAGAAAATAATACAAGAGGCAGCTTTACACTCTTGAAGAATAAAACCTAGCTTTGCTAACAGCTGGCAGCCCCACCTGGGAGAATGCTTGGGAGGAGGCATCACAGGTGTGCTCTGTCCCAGCTGCTTTCTGCAGTCCCCAGGAGTGGCAGCTCCTGGCCATGCTTGGATGTGAGCATCCCACTGGGCAGGGGAGGTGGCGCTGTTGTGGCACTTTGAGTCTCAGATCAACTGGTTCTGCATCTTCTCTTCACACAGCTAAGGTATTACCTTCATCCAAAAAATGAGGGAGCTGTGCCCAGAGAGGAGCATGGTCTCACTCACTGTCACACAGCTACTGAGAGAAGGTCATAGGGCCGGGGCTCCTAACTCCTGGTGGAAGACTCTTCAGTTTGTCACACTGGGCAAGTAACTTTTTCTTACATTAGCGGGTCATGAAGGAGAGACAGGCAGATAGGGAGGTCGGATGGCAGAATGGGACCAGAACCCTGAACCTCGGGTCTGGCCAGTGCTTTCTGAACATCTGTGCATGAGGGGAAAGGCACAAGCCACATTAGGCCTTTCTTCACTGCTTTAGGAGAGATTCTGAGTTGGGAGTGGTGGGGGCCGGTAGGGGAAAGTAAAAGATTAGGCTGAAGGAACTGTTGCAGTGGAGCCAGCGTGGTGTGAGGATGAGGGCTCTGCCTGAACAGGAAGCTCTCTCTCGCACCTGGAGGCTGAAAAGGGCATGCCCTACACCTGTAACACCAAAACGCACCTCCCAACCTCTCATCCCACCTGGACATCCTCTAAGAAGTCATGGGGAGCAAGGCAGAGTGCCAGTGTAACCTCTGGGGAGACAAGGCCAGTTGGTTTGCTGGGGGTGGGCAGGTCAGGAAGGCTTGTGTGTGGGAGGGAGGCCATGCTGGGACCTGTGTCCAGCCCAAATTCATTGACAGGGTCAGGATAGCAGACAGGTCACAAACCAGCCTCCTTGATGGTTTCCATGCTGGGCAGCATCCTCATGCCACATGCCCGCAGTCTGGGGTAGCGTCCTTCAGAATGCAGGCTGTGAACTAGCAGTGGGCCTTGAAGATATTTACAAGGTTGTGAGCAATCACTAAAAAAAATTTAGTATAAACATACAGAGTATGCACATTTGGTAAAGGTAAGTGTTGTTGAGTAAAACTTTACAGATACACAGTCTGCAGTTTTGACCTGGCAAGACTGACCCTTTCCTAGGCCTCAGAGGAGACAGACTTGAATGTGGAGAAAAGGCGGAAATAACTCAGCCACTTCCACAAGACCAGCTTTTAATATGACTGTGATTTGAAGCACGAATAAATAAACGCCAAAGAAAATGGAAAAGCCAAACCAAACCTCAGAACATCAAAATTTTAAAAAAAGCATAAAACAAAGCAAAACAAAAATCTCCATCAGACAAACAGAAAAGCCCCCCGACCCCAAATAAAAAGAATCAGACTGTACAAGTTGTGTCACAGGAAGAGAACGACATGGGCACCATGGGTGAACAGGAGAGCCCCCTGTCCTCTGGCTGCTGTGCTGCGCCAGGGCTGGAGGGAGGTTGGCCCGGGTCACCTTTGGCGCTGAAGCCCCATGGGCCAGCTTGGGGGAAAGGGGGTTTGTGGTCAGGTTAAGAACCTTCACAAACGACACAAGAACTGAATGTAGCTGAGTCCCGCGGTTCCCTCTTGATTGTGCAGTTCTGATTCCAGGGTGGCCTCATGGTAACTCTGGACCTGGAATCTGGTCCCACTGCACGGGCAGCAGTGTGGACAATGGAAACCGCGTGGAGGAATGTCATGTACAAGACAGACGTGGAGGTGGCGCCGTAAGAAGTCTGAGCATGCAGGTGCTTTATACATCTGGCAGTGAGATGTGATGGCAGGTTTGTTCTTGGACAGTGCCAGAGTGACTCGTCTCTCCTAAGAGGGACGCACGGCGGGACCCAAGGACGCGTCGCGTTGGACGTGGCCAGAGCGAGGTCTAGGCAGCTAGTCTGCAATGTGTGCATAGGGGCTCTTGCTTCCTTCCAGCGTCAGGGGCCATCCCACCTGAGCTTTCTGTTCCTTGTCCTGGGTCTTGGGCCTCAAGGTCTGTTTGGAGGGGGTGCTGGGTGGCTCGAGGGGTGTCAGCAGGCAATCTCCTCCAAGGTCCCCAGGGCTGTCTGCAGGGGCACATTCACAGTGTGGCTGATGGTTTCAGAGTGGTTTGGCATTGTGTCACAAGTGCTCTGGAAGGGAAGGGTGGTGCAAGTTGATTATTTATTCAGCAAAATTCATCGTGATGCCATTAGTGGCCCGGCCTTGGCCCTAGGGAAGGTGCTCCCCACTTCTGGGCTGCTTCTGCTCCAGACATCTGATGGGCTGCTTTGCCATTGTGGGGGCGTGAGGCTGAATGGAATCCTTACCATTGCACACCTGGGTGCCCCCTATGGCAGTGAGAAGGCTCCCTGGTTTGATCGGCAGCTGATTTAATTCCTCCTAGAGGTACCCCTGATGGAACTGGACCTATCTCTGAATAGTCTCTAGCTTTGGGCTGGATGGTTCTGAGTCTGGACCTCTCCCTTGGGGGCCTCCCTTGGGGCTTTGGTGCAGGAACTGCCGTCTGTGGCTAGGCCTGGGGCAGGGAGCACCCCTGACTGAGGCCAAGCAGGAAGGGTAGAAGGCCTTAGAGCTCAGAACTGGAGCTGGTCAGCGCTGCCCCAAGGACTTTTAGAGTTAAGCTGGACCCAGGGAAACGTAGTTGTGGGTCCCTAAGCAGGGAGGGGCTGAGCTGGCTGCATATGAATCTTCAGCCTGATTCCCAGGCTGTGGTGGGTGGGAGGCCAAGAGGGATGGGAGCAGGGGACAACTAGCCAGGAGGCTATGCTGGGAATTTGGGGAAGATTTGATGGGGCCACAGCTAGGGGAGGAGGAACAGGATGGAGAAGAGGCTGTGATACTGAGATCTTCTGAAGCAAGAAGGGCTCTGGGGAGGGGGGTGCAAAGGGAACCACTTCCTGAGCACTTACTATAAACTGGGTGCTGTGCTGACTGCTTTGCTGGCAGGATCTCACTTGACTCGGGTGACAGCCTCCTGGGGTCTGATCTATGAAGATGCTCAGGGAGGTTAAATATATAACTTGCCCCCAGGCACACAGCCAGGAAGCCGGAGCCCTGGGATCCAGCCAGGCCAGTTGAGCCCAGAGCATGGGCACATTCCACACTGCCCTCCCCATCAGCAGAAGCTGTCTTTCCTTAGACAGAGGCTGCAGGAGACCAGAGAATCAAAGCAAGATGTGTAGACAGTATGTGGAACAGAAATGGGAGCCCACATAGTGGGGAAGGTGCTGGGATCCATTTTGGATTTGTTGACATTAGATGGGTGGTAGTCACTCAATGAGCATGATTTTCCATGGCTGGAGGTGCTGATTTGGGGCCCAAGGCTGGATGGGGAAAGCCAGCGACACCTGCACCCGTCAGCGAAGGCCTGAGCCCAGGAGGAGACTTGAGTTTGGGAAGGAGAATGACCAACAGCCATAGAGGGGCTGCCCCTCAGGCTATAGGAAAGACAGGCAGAGTGGAGCAGTGGTTAGAGGCGCTTGGAGGGCAGCTCTGACACTCAGCAGCTGTGGGACTTTGGTCTCTGGGCCTCAACAGCCTCAAACACAAAGTGCCTGACAGTGCCTGACATGTATCAGACATACAATAGTCAGTAGCTATAATGGGCACTATTGCTGCTACCAACTTCATGGGGCTCCGTAGTCTACCCTTTTCCAATGGGATGGAGAGCCAGTGGTGCTCTGCTTGTACTTTGCCACCGCTGGGGAATAAGGGAGTAGACATCCAGAGCCTCTCCAGTTCTTCCCCTGCTGTGAGATGAGGGGAGCAGCTGCCTGCCTGGGAGAAGCTGGAGTGGGCCAAGTAGGTCCTACGCTTGGAAGCACCTCCTGGTGTCTGCTGCATCTATACTGGCTTCTGGGATGAGTCTCAGAGAGAGGCTCGAGGCTCAGCTGGTTTTGGGAACTGACAGCATGTCCCAAGCCATGAGAAGGTGTGCAGTAAGTCACATCTTTCCTGCCTGGCCCCAGTATCTGGTTTCATACTGCCAGTACAAGCCAGACCAGCAGAACCCCATCCAATCAGTGAGCTGCTCTTACCACGTTCTCATCGTGGCTCCCTTCATCCTCCTCTTTGCCAAGCAGGTCTAATAGCTTCTCTTTGATCAGCTGCAAGAAAAGCAGGAAGGGTTGGTCAGGCCGGGAGGAGGGTGCAGAGGTAGAAGGGACCTCCCTCCACTGGGGCCCGCTGGGGCTGGCAGCTGCCCAGGCTGTGGCTGGACAGATTGTAGCACAAGCCCAGCCTGGCAGCCAGCTCCAGGTGCCTGTCTGTCTCAACCCAGCCTTTTGGCTGAAATGGGATTTTGTTGCAGGAGCTAGAACTTGGAAGAGGTAATGGAGGGCCCTGCTTTGCAGCGTGAACTGCTGTCTGTGCTGGAGAGTGTTAGCAGGTGGCATGTGCTGGTACAGCTGGCTCCCTGTCTGTCCTCAGGAGCAGCTTCCCCTTCCTGTGGTGGACAAGATTATTATTCGCTGTCTAGGCCTGACACTGCACACAGTTCAGGAGACCAGGACATGCCTGAGTTCATAACATTTTATTCCTAGCAATAAAGGGTAGTTCTTAAATCTGTTACCTGGTGTGATTCAGTTGCCACAACTGTGTACAGTTTTTCACAAAAGTCCATAGACAAAGCAGAATAAAATCTGGCCATGGGAACTGGGGTCACCGTGCTGAGAGGAGTGAGATTCTCCAGAGGAGCCTGGTCACTGGGATTTTGCTGCAGGAGCTAGAACTTGGAAGAGGTAATGGAGGGCCCTACTTTGCAGTGTGGACTGCTGTCTTTGGGGGCAGTCCCACAAAGGTCCCCACCGTGGTTCCGAGCAGGTTTTGGTCACCAACAGATGCCTCTGAGAGACAGAACATGGCTCTGCAGGCTCCTGTCTACTGCTCCTGCTTGGGGGACTTCACAGGTTTGGGCGATCTTTGGAAGTTCTGGAGCCATTGCCTTTTTCAGGGGCACACATTGGAGGCAAAGTGCAGTGCCCATCTCACAGCCAGGGGGATGGAGGCCTCCAAGGCAGTACTGGTCAGGACAGAGCCTGGGATGGTAGCATCCCTGGGCTCGCTCTCAGTGGGAGGTGCAGGTGAGAAGGCTGAAAACACTGGGACTCTTGGTGCCAGAGAAGCTTTCAGAGGCCTTGTTCCAGCCGCCTCTTGAGGGAGACATCTCCCCAGACTGTCAGCAGCCGGGGCAGCTGGCATGCCCTGCTATCTTCTTGCTCAGGATTGCTGAGGATTGCTGGGAAGTGCCCCTTCTCTAAGACTGACTGGGCCACAGAAGACATGACTCAGGGGATGGGCCACCTAGAGGGGAGATGTGTGGGTGGGGGAGCTTGTATGCAGGTGTGCACATGCCGGTGGATGAAGCCACCACCTCCAGCCCAGCTGCAGGAAGGGCTTGGAGCTGGCCTCCACACAATCCAGCCCCTTCTCCTGATCCCTGCCCATCCTTCTAGATGGCCCAGTGCTGTTTCAGCTCCCAGAGGACAGGGCTGTGTTTCTCTTACATCCACCCCCCCCCAAAAATCTCCCATCCCCTTCCCCCACAGTGCCTGGGCTTCAGTAATCGACTCTATCGGTGGACAAGAGGGGAAGCAGGCTCTGCAGGGAGAGAGGCACCACCTTCCCTCTGCTGTGGTTCTGGACATGGGGTAGGATGAGGGCACCAGCATGTGGTCATTTCCCTGTGGAGAATCCCAAATCTTACCTCATAAATATAATCAAAGAGCTCTAGTATTGTAAGGATACTAGCACCAATGAACAATCCCATCTGACCACCAATATCACCTGGAAAGAGACGGAAAAGACCAACAATGTGCTTTTATGCAGCTTTCAGGAAGGGTGAACAGACTGAGATGGAACCCAGAGCTTCTGAATGGCACTCCCTCCACGGGGAGCCTGGGCTTTGCTGTAGGAGGGCCAGGCCTTTGGCAGCTCCTTCCCTCATTGCACAGCTCTGAGAGCTAGTGTTTTTCAGCATTCAGTGGGGTTGGGGACTAACCTGATGGCTTATTGGAAGGGCTTAGAATAGATCTCATGACCCACAGGGCTAACGGGATTGCTCAGTTGCACTGAGAACCACACCGATTGGGTCCTGCTTTGACTCTGGGCTGGGAATAGGGAGAGCAGAGAGATGGGATATGTGTGGACTAGAGGCAGGTGCCTTGGGTGGGAGTCTCGGGAGCAGATACCCCCCAAGCTGACATAATATGGGCTTCAGGGCCACCTTGAGACACCTCCCACCCTTGGGATAAGGTCACAGGTGTCTCCTATCTTCCTCACACAAAGGTAAATGTGCAATTTGGACACTTCCTAGAGCTGAGGTTCTTACTCTGGGACTTATGGGCCCCCATTGTTCAACATTTTTCTGGATTTGTCTTTAGATCCCCCTGGATTTAACTCTCCTGGAAGAATTATAATCAGTGTTGATGCCTGTTTACACCTAGGCCAATAGAATCAGAGCCTCTGGGGTTGGGGTCTGGATGTCAGGATTTTTACGTTCCTGCTGGGGGTGAGGTGCATTATCAGGCCCACCAGAGTTTGAGAACCATCTCCTGGGAGGACTTCAGATGGCTGGGGACTCTCCTGAAATTGAATGCAAAATGTGTGTGCTCCTGGAGAGTCCATAGCTATCATGAGTTTTTAACAGGTGTTCTGAGTCCTTGAAGACTTAAGCTGCTTTGCTGCAGAGGCGGGGTGGCAGAGCAGAGGGCTCTGAGGCTCTGAGTCCAGAGAGTGGCCATCAACTGGTTGTGTGGCTTTTGTAAGTCTTGACCTTCTCAGGAGCTTTGCCTCCAAAGGACAGTTGGTGTTGGTGCAGGGTGGAGGGGGTTGGGTGAGATGAACTATGGAGTTCTTTCCAGCCCTAATCTCTAAGACTCTCAGTCTCCAGAAAGAGGGGTGGGAATATGGGGTTGGGGGCACAGTTGGGGGCACAGTTCTCTTGGAGATGCCAGGTTGACCTCTTGGTCTGAGAACTCTTTCAGATCTGCCTCACTCCTCCTCAGCTTATGACTGGGTGAGGACCAGCACCCACATGCCCAGGCAAACCACAGAGATGGCGGGGGGAGGGCACTTCCCAGTGGAGCTTGGTGCTGGGCTCCAAATGGCTCTCCCTCATTCCTCCCCCCGTCCCCTTCTCATGTCTTTAATGGAGGCTTCTTGGGGACTGTATTCTCATGGGTATGTATGGTAGGTGGGAGGCGTGTGATGTACATGTTCAGTGTGAGTCTGTAGTGGTATAGTGCGTGGTATGTGCCAGGGGCCAGGTGTGTGCATGTATTTGTATGAAAGCAGGCAGGAGGTCTGGCTGTGGATGGCTTTATGTAGGTGGCTCTCCCTATCTAGTTTAGGCACCCTGAATGTGTCTAAGTGTGTGAGTGGGGGTCTGTGGAGGTGGGCAGAGCATGTCTGAATATGTATGGTGTGTATAGTATGGGTGTGCTTGTGTGTGTATATGGGGGTGTGTGGGGGCTGTGTGCACAGGTGTCTCTCTGTAGCTGTGTGATTTGTACATGGGGCTGTAGAGGTAAGAATTTGCATGTGTGATTCTGGACCACTGTGGGTGTATGAACCGGTAGGTTTGTTGCTTGTGTGTGCAGATTGTGATGGGGTACCCTGTGAGTAGCATGAGTGCTGTGTAGCATGCACGTGCCTGGACACTAGGAGGTGAGAGAGGGCCACACGGTGCTGGGAGAAGAGCCTGATGGGGCCTGATGGCTGAGGATTTGCAAGCGGCACACGCTGTCATCACAGGAGGTCCAGATGGCAGCATGAGCTCCTCAGCCGGCTATTCTGGGTGGGAACATGATGCTGGGAACAAGCTCATTCTCATATCTGACGCAGACATGACAGATTCAGAGCTCAGGCCCTTTTTGCTCTCTCTCTCTCTCTCTCTCTCTCTCTCTCTCTGTGTGTGTGTGTGTGTGTGTGTGTGTGTGTGTGTGTGAGAGAGAGAGAGAGAGAGAGAGAGAGAGAGACACAGAGAGAGAGAGAGAGGACTGTGAGCCTATGCTGGAGGACGGCAGGGGGTGGGAAGAGGCCTGTCCCAAGTCCTCTTTATGGAAATAAAAGGCAAGGCCAGCACAGGGGTTAGTGAGGGGGTCTACGTCTCTGGTGGGGACAAGGGCATGAGTCTCTTGGCTCAGTAGCTTTGGCCACAATGACTTCTGAGGCTGAGTGACAGCCACTTTAACCTAGCTGGGACTGAGTTATGGCTGGGAGTCCCCAGCCTCCTGGAGGAGGTATAGAAATGCTTAGCTAGACCAGGCCCGGTGGCTCATGCCTGTAATCCCAGTACTTTGGGAGGCTGAGGTGGGCAGATCAGGAGGTGAAGAGATCGAGACCATCCTGGTCAACATGGTGAAACCCCGTCTCTACTAAAAATATAAAAATTAGCCGGGCATGGTGGCACGTGCCTCTGGTCCCAGCTACTTGGGAAGCTGAGGCGGAAGAATCACTTGAGCCCAGGAGGTGGAGGTTGCAGTGAGCCGAGATTGTGCCACTGCACTCCAGCCTGGTGACAGAGCAAGACTCTGTCTTAGAAAAAAAAAAAAAGAAATGCTTAGCCAGCTGAGGCCTGGGTCCCTGGCATAGTGACTGTTCAGGTGCCAGAAACTACAATTTATGGACCTTTTCTGGGCAAGGAGCTCATCACATTTAACCATCACAACAAGCTCTTAAAGTGGGTTTTATTAAACTCATCTTGCAGATGAGGAACCTGAGGTTCAACAAGGTAAAGCTACTTGTCCATATTCTCACAGCTGGTGTGAGGAGCCAGGTAGGAGGCACCTGCCCCTTCCAAAATGCTAACATCACCTGGCTCGGCTCAGGGAGGCGACAGCTATTTCTCTTTCTGGGGCATCAGATCCTTTCTTGAGAGTGAATGGGAGCCCGGAGAAGGGCTCGTGGGTCAAGTCCTTTAGCTGTCCACTCTCAGGGGTCTTGTGAGTTTGGGGCTGGGCTAGGGCAGGATGGAAATTACCCCTCTGTATCCATCATGTGCCACTGGGGCCGGGGAGCTCATGTCAAGTTGCGTGGAGTGGCGGCAGGTCTGTGGATACCAGGGGAGACTGGCTCTTCATTTGTGATTGACAAATGACTCAGTCCATGGTGCAACACCTGGCCTTCTTGATGCAGCAGTGTTGCTTTTGGGGTGAAGCTCCATCAGGGCCCTCACTGTGCCCTGCCTGGGGCCACCCACAGTTCAGCCTTCCCGCCTTTTCTTCTGACACCTCTTCCCTCCCTCCATGGCCACAGGATCCTGACTGCAACCTGGGGCAGAAGACCATGAACTCCAAGAGTGCAGGGCTGGAAAGGCCCAGAGAGACCTTTAGGCTCACCCTCCTCATTGCATAGATGGGGAAAATGAAGCCAAGATTGGAGAATGAATTGGGCCTGAAATTCCACTGGGGTTCTTTCCATTCCGGGAGAGGAGCAGTGCAAGGAAAGAGGGGGTAATCATTAGTAAATTAAAAGGTTAGACTCATCCGAGGCTATGTGTCTGTCTGCCTGCCTCCCCATCCACCTGTGCATCCTCCCTCCCTCCCTCCCTCCCTCCCTCCCTCCCACCCTCTGTGAAAATGTGGAAATTTGTGCAACAGACACCGACTTACCAAGTAAGGCAGCAACTTCATACGCCTTCTTCTGTTCAATTGTCTCGTAATTGAGAGCTTCAAAAAATATATCCAGAACAAGGATGTTCTCTCTGCAGAGAGAATAGTCAGTACCATACATGGTTAGAGCTATCAGCATTCACAGGGAGCATCTAATACGGCTTTCCCATGGAAAGATGGAGAAACAGGCCCAGGGAGTGAGGCAACTTGCCCAAAGTTAGTGCTGGTTGGTGGGAGAGCTGCAGCTTTAAACCAAGAGGCCCGATTCCCAGCCCAGCGCTGGAAGCCTACATCAGCTGCCTCCTTGTGCTGCTTATTTCTGTCTCCCTGCTTTCTCTTTGCCCCCTTTGCAGGAGTCCTGCCTGGCTTCCAGTCCTCTGAGCCTCCAAAGGGCCCACCTGGTCCTCAGCATGAAGGTGAGTTTCAGTAATCTTCTGACAAGTCTTGTCTTGGCTGGGGTGCCTGCTTCAGCTGACCTCATGGGCAGCCCCTGCCCACTCCTGAGACCACCTAAATTCCTACTGGGATTTATAACAAGCTCCTCCTGGTGGGAGGCCCTGCTCTGGCATTGCCGGGGAAGATTTGCAGGGAGCAAGCTTACATCTGGCTGGGGGGTGTTCTGGAAGAAGCACTCGGCTTGCTTTGCTCCTTTGGGCAGGTGTGTAAGTGAGACACATCTTGGCAGTAAAAGTCATTGCTGCCTGCAGACTGTCTGCCAAGCAGCAGAGCCTGGCGTCTCTTACAATTCCCATCTCCTCCAATGTGCTCGCAATGCCTTCAGTGCCCCTTGTTCTCCATCCACTGAGCAAAAGCTGGCCCAGGATTGGGTCTGGGGACAGTGCTGGCAGGAGGGAGGGGCTGGGGAAGTGAGGAGCAGATTCTTCTTTCTAAGAGCCCTGCTCGCAGGGGAGTGGTTCAAAGTATCGCCCTCTCTTGCTTGGCTTGCAACAGCTGCTTCCTAGCGGCTCCCTTCTTCCCATCTGCCTTCCCCTCTCTTCTCTACCACCGCCCTAAGGATCTTTCTAAAACTGCTAAGTTGATTCAAATTAAATAAAATGACAGTTCTACTCCTCAGTCACACAGGCTGCATTTCAAATGCTCATCAGCCACAGGTGGCCAGCAGCTACCCCACTGTGTAGAGCAGATACAGAACATTTCCATCATTGCAGAACATTTGTCCTGCTGGGGAGCAGTGGTCAAAATGCAAACTTGAGTCTGTCACTCACCTCCAGAAGCTTTTCAGTGGCTCCCTATTCTGTTAGAATAAAGCCCACCCCCTGCACCTGCTCAGCTCAGCCAAAAGACCCTCTTGCTCTGACACATCCATCCTCCCCTGTGTAGTTCTCGCTTCTGCCCTGTGCTGATGGTCTCTGCTGAGTCTCTGCCAAGGCTACTCACTTCCCCCATGCTTACATTCATTTATTCTGTTAAAACACATTTTTTGAGTACCGACTCTGTGCCATTCGATCCACAAGTACTTGGCAGACAGAAAGAACAAAAAAGATAGTTTCCCGCCTTCAGGGGGCTTTCAATCTAGTATGGCAGACAAGTCACAAACAAGGAAACACACATGAATATGTAATTACACACCGTGGTGTTATAAAGGAAAACACCAGAGGACTTGGGGAGAAAAGTAACAGGAGTGCACCTAATCTAGATGCCTGAGATAATTGCAGTTTTGTTTTTATTTTTATTTGTTTTAGAGACAGGATCTAACTATGTTTCCTAGGCTGAGCTTGAACTCCTGGCCTGAAGCAATCCTCCCACCTTGGCCTCCCAAAGAGTTGGGATTATAGGCAGGAGCCACCATGTCCAGCTGGAGATGACATTTAAACGGAGACCTGCTTAAGGAGGAACCAGTTAGATGGAGAATGGGAGGAAAAGAATTCTAGGCAGAGGGAATAGTACATGCAAGGTCTGCCTGGAAAACTATACACCTTTAAAAAATCTCTGAAGCTTACCCTAATATTACCCCCATGCAAGCTGCAGCTAACCCATCATTCTCTCCTTCTGTATGCATCCCCCTATGATAGCCAAAGTCGCCCTATATGGGATTCAGTTGTGGACTTGCCTCCCCATAAGATTGCAAGCTTCTTAAGGGTAGGGGCTGAATCTTACTCATCTTTGTCTTTGTATTCTGAGCATAGAGCACAGAGCACAGAGCTTGACACACAGAAGGTGCTAACTTGAACCAAATATCTTTACTTTCCTCCTTGATTGCCTCCAATTTCCTCCTTATCCATTTCCCCCTCCCCCTGCCGACCATGCCCACTCAACTTACGAGATATATTTTTCTGATTTGTTAAATTTCTTCTCAAGGTACTTGGCTGATGTCTTGCTGGGGATCTTCACCATGGAGAGCTCTTTGTTGTAACGGGTCAGGTTGCAGGGTGTCCTGCAGAGACAGTAATTGCTGTCCTTTTCCGCCAGCAGACCTGGAGGGGTGAGGGAGGTGGAGCTTAGTCAGGTGTGAGGACTGGGATTTCTAAGGGCCCAGAGTAGCTGGATTCTAGCAGCTGAGAAGTGAGGTGGGAAGGGGTGCCAGTCCGGGGAAAGTTAGGGGCGGGGATTGTGGAGGGTGGGGAGCTGGGCTTTTGCCATAGGTTGAGCTTGTTTTCCTTCTGCTTCCTTTAAGTGTCATGTCACTCTTTAAAAATTGTTGAAATGTCACCACTTTTGCAGAGGTCTCCAAGAGAATCCTAGTGCCCTCAGCTTCCCATGGTTCCTAGCCTCAGTATTCTCATCCACAGAGTGGGCTACCATCAACACAAATGTGGGAGACCATTTTACCTGAATCCCAGGGCTCTGTGCTATTCCTGCTGGGGCTCCCTCACAGCCAGTGTCCACCTCCTGTGGGTTAGGATGTAGGCAAAGATCCTTCATTCCTTTCCCTGGAGGCCACTCCCTACATCTGGAACCCTTCTGGCCCTCCCCTCTCTTCTTCTATTTAGATATAAAATTTAAGGCACCATTTCCTTCTGACAAAGACTTTCTCCCTGATCAAACTTAGCCAGGCTCTTTGGTGCCCTGTTCTCGACTAGGCCTTGACCTTGGCCCCCATCCATGCTAGGCCTGCCCAGCCCAGTTTTAGCAAGAATCCTGCTAAAGTCAGTTTAGAGAGAACCCCCAACCTTTGATATCTCATCACCCTGGCCTGCCTTCAGCAAGATTTCTCCCTACCATGGATGTTTTCTCTGGGTGATTTTCTATCTACTGACTCCTTGCTCTGCTTGATGGTTGTGAATCTCCAGCTGTCTTGGCTGTATTCTGAGTTGAGCCCCATCCCTTTCCCCTATTGTGATACTCTTGACACCTGTTGCACTTGCCCTGAATAAAGACTTCCTTACCATTTTAAACAGTGTCAGAATGATTTTTTTCTTTAACACCTCCCTTCCCTTTCCTCTAGCCACTCAGTGTTTCAGGCTACCCTGGGTATGGCTGAGTCTTTGCATACATCAGAAGTCACTCCCTCTCCTCTCAGCCCGGCCTCCCTCTCTAGTTCTCCTGGAGGTATCTGGACCTGAGGCCAGCACTGCCCCACTTGGCTCCAGAAAGTGCAGATGCTGAACGAACTTGAGTGCACATTGTTTAAAAATTCTGCCTGTTTTGATTATAAACCATTTCCTGGGACCAGAGAGCGGGGAGCATGCAGAGCGGGTCTAGCTTTGGGGCTGCAGCTTGCACTCTCCTTCCCTCCTAGTTTCCAGCTGGGGAATCAGCAGAGTTCTTCTAACCGGCAGACCCCTGGCAGGCCCTTTGGGGAGGAGGAAGGAGCGTGCTCTGTGTTTTCCATTTGCACACATAGAATGCAAACCTGAGCTTACCTCTCCAGCCCTCCTCCACCTCCCCCAGGCTCAATGGAGCATAAGGAAGATGGGACTTCAGAATCACCTTGGCCTCCCCACGTAGACACTACCAGAGTGAGTGTGTGAGGGGAGGTATTGCCAAGCTCCTCTGGTGCCCATCTGGCTGTCCACTGTCTATCCCCTCTCCTCCTGTGTCCTCTCCCCTGCATTCTTCAGCACCCTCCATTTCCCCTGAAACCTACTCCTTCTCCATCTCTACCTTCCACACCTCCTTTCTCTCCTCCAGTCCCATTTCCATCCCTCGTCCTCTTGCACCAATTCCCTCCCCAACATTCTCTTCTTCATCCTCTCCATCTCCCTCTCCCATCCCTGCAGCGACTCTACCCTGCCAGCCGCTTTCTTCTTATCCTCTCTCCATTCCTTCTTCCGCTTGATCTTTCCCCACACCAAGATGATCTCTACGATCTCAATCTCAGGTCCCTGCCCCCATGATTCCATCTGCCCCTGAGTACTGACCTAGGGCAGGCTCTGCACACTCCTTGTGTTGCTCAGGGGTACAGAAAGGGGCATCCCCTGCAAAGAAGAAACACCAGACAGTTACTCGGGCAGGAACATTCATGTCAGCAACACATCCTCTGCTTTGGGCTGAGGGAAGGGGTGCCTCCTGGCAGTTGAAGGGGCAGTGGCTGCCAGCAGGCAGTTCGAAGGGAGCCTTGGATCACAGTGCACCTGAGCTGGAAGGCTGGCTTATGATCTGCTAAGTGAGTTTGGGCAGGCTGTTCACCTCCTTGAGCAGGACACAGTAGGATCTGTATGGCTGACTTCTCCCATGTTGCTCTGTAGGTCCAGCCAGCTCCTGTGGGTGACAGGCGAGCTCGCCTTGAGAATTGAGACTGGGGAGGCAGTGATGAGCACCTTGTACGCCTGGCTATACATCATCTTCTTTAACCCATACAGGGACCCTTGGAAGTACTGTATCTGTTTTACCCGTGAGAGTTTTGAGGCTTACACATCCTGCCTTCCCAGGACACCAAGGCTGGCAGTGATGAAGGTGGGCTTTGAACAGAGGTCAGCCTGATCCAGAGCTTAAAGCTCTTCTCAAAAAAACCACTCTTCTGTATGGGAACAAGGGCTGCACTGTGTTTCTTCATTGCTTTGTTCATAATTCCACATTAGTAACTGAGGTATCAGTATTAGTGCATGGGTGTGATTGACATGTCTACTGCTTGCCTTTGGCTAAGGTTGGTGGGGAAAACCTCACTGGCTGGTGGCCTAGTCTGAGCATCAGATGTGTAACATTCCCCAATGTGAGTTCTCCTTGCTGAGTTCTCTTTGTAGAAATCCAGGATCCTTTTTTTTTCAACCAAATGCTAAAGTTCAAGTCCACCATAACGTTTTTTCCTTATCATTTTCCCAAAAACCTTTTTCAGAGCTGAAGAATCAATATGCTTTCTCCTTTCCAAAAACAACCGATCGAATGACATGTTTCCCTGTTTGCTTTGTCTTCTAGGAAGCTCACAGGCCATTTTATTATTATTCTTATTTAAAACATAAAAATTTATTATTATGTTACAGTTTTGTAGGTCAGAAGTTAGATACAGGTTTCATTGGTCCAGAATCAAGGTGTTGGGTCGAGGGGGCGGGCAATGTTCTTTTTGGAGGCAGTAGGGGAGAATTCATTTCCTTGCCTTTCCCAGCTTCCAGAGGCCACCCCCATATTCACTGGCCACACACATGCATCGACTCCCCACATTCTTCCACCTTCAGATTGAACAAGTTTGCATCTCTCTGACCCTTCTTTCAGAGTCACATCTCCCTCTGACCCTGGCTGGAAAGGGGCATTGATTTTGAGGACTCTGATCAGATGAGTCCCACCTAGATAATCTCCCCACTTAAAGGTGGTAACCTTAATCATTTTGGCAGAGTCCCTTTTGACAGAGGCAATTTTAAAGATCAGTAATTTAAATCTTAGATTACTAAGGAAATTGCTGATAATGAATGAAATAATTCAGAATATAGCAGTGAGGATGTTCATTTCAGCATGGGCTATAACAGAAAACAACTGGTAAGGAACCGGACGTCCAGTATAAGGATTTAGTTAAATAAAATTGAATGAAGTATGATATAACCATGAAATAGCAGCCGCTAAATATAATAGCAACATTCCTGGCACACAGTAGGTCTTCAGTCAACATGACTTTTGGTTCCCTCTTCCAATATGCTAAAGAACAACCACTAACTTTTATAGTTTACAAAGCATTTTCATATCCTCGCCTAATTTTCACCTTATAACAACAAATGATTGTGTCTTAAAGATCATAAAGGTGAGAACAGAGAGGTTTAGTAACCATGTCTCACAGTAAATGAGTGGAAGAGCCTGAATTAGAAACTAAGGCCCCACTCGTGCTTCCTTGCTGCCACACCATGCTGTTCCTGCCCAGGTCAGCTTTCCACTCTGTACTTCAGCCTCTGATGCGCCAACTGCATGAGATGGACACATGGCATTGTTAGTCTGACAACAGAGGTGTCATTACATGCACAGTTATTTGTTGGCTAATAGAACTTTGCCTCATTTGAAGAAGTGTTAGACATTTGGATGCAAAAGGGGAAAAATCTGGATGAAAGCAACAAACATCTGGATGTTCAAACATGTACTACACAAGATGCAAGAATCGCAAGCATCCAATTATCTGGACACTATACTCTCAGAGGTAAGAGCAGCAGACAATTGGCAAACATTGAACACTGGGATGAGCATTCCCCAAACGCTGGATGCTTCTGGACACCAGGATGCTGCTTTGGTTGCTGGACTAGAAGTTTCTACCTGCCCTCTGAATGTTTAGGCACCAAATCACAGAGTCTTCCAAGAATATCACCCTTTTGGATGCTAGTGAAGTGGGTGAAGTGTTTCCCATTAGGACGAGAAATGTGAGGCAGGTCCCAGGGCCCTGTGGCCGCCCTGCTCCGGCACTGACCTGGCATGTGGACCATGCGGCAATTGCAGTTTTCCACGATGTAGCGGGTCTCACAGTCAATCCTACAGGCGGTAATACTGTAAACAGGAAAAAAGTCGAGGCCCATCTCTGAGGATCGGCACTCACCCCACGGCGGGGGCAGGTACGTAAGCTGCAAGACAGGAAGGAGGGGGTGGCAGTCAGCCTCCACAGACTCAGTGGCTGGTTCATTTACTTAATCAACAAATAATTACTGAGCATTTACATACCATTAACTTTATAGACCTTCAACATCTGGCTCCAATACTAGTTTTCTTACCTTACCTTAATTTTTTTTTTTTTCCTAGGGGCAAAGTTTCACTATGTTGCCCAGGCTGGCTTCAAACTCGGGGGCTCAAGTGATCCTCCTGTCTCAGCCTCTCTAGTAGCTGTGACTACAGGTGTGTACCATCACGCCCAGCCCTAATTTATCTTTTATAGCCTTCCCATAAATGCGGTTCCCCTCAGAGTCTCTTATCCACTCCTACATTTTGTCATCTTGTATCTCTTGGAAAGACCCAACTAAGTTTCACTCTCTTGGTTTGGGACGTTGGAATCCCAGACCTAGACTTGGAGAACAAAACTCAGAATAACCTAGACCTGGAGAAAGACTCAGAATGAAATCACTCTAGGCACTATCCTTGTTATTTATGGTTCTGGGCCTGGACTAGAGAGACTCTTCCAGGTCATGCTGCAGAGGGCACCTTCTCCCTTTGAAGAAAATTACACTGCTATTCTCAGAGGTTCAGTGATCATACATGTTCTCCTAGCATCTATGGTACTCGCCTAGTGGGAATGGGAAGGGTGAAGGATGAGGGAACTAATGTTGGTTGAACATTTTCTATGTGTTAAGTCCTTTATATTTATTTTTTAAGATTAAAGAATAAAAACACAATAAAATGTACAAATAACAAGTGCACTGTTCAATATATTTTAACAAATGTGTATGCCCATGTAACCAGCACACTAACCAAGATCGCATTTTAAATCACCCTAGAAAATTGGTTTCTGTCCCTGTCTAAGCCGTGTCCTACCTACCCAGGTAAACACAGTTATGAATTCTCGCACCATAGGTTGCCTTTGCCTGTTCTCAAACTTCATATAAATGCAAGCTTACGCTGTGTGTTCTTTTGGCACAGCTTCTTTCACTCAACATCATGTTTTTGAGGTTCATCTACATGGTCGTTTGCACCAGGAGTTTTCTCCTTTTTATTGCTGAATAGTTTTCCAGCATTATGTATGACTACACTACATTGTGTTAATCCATTCACCTGATGATGGGCATTTGGATTCTTTGCAGTTTTTGATAATCATGAAAAAACTCCTATGAATATTTATACATAAGTCATTTTGTGGACATATGTTTTAGTTTTTCTTGAGTAAATGGCTAGCAGTGGAATAGCTGGTTTGTAAGATACCACAACTTGATAAGAAACTGCCTAACTGTTATCCAAAGTGGTCTATTTTATAGTTCCACCAGTAGTGCCTGAGAATTCTCATTACTCCACATCCATGACAAATCTTGACTTCATCCACCTTTTTGATTTTAGCCATTTTTTTAGGTATATAGTTGTGTCTCATTTGTATTTGTAGTTCTCTGATGGATGATTTTGAGCACAATTTTATGTGTTTATTGGCCATTTGTATATAACCTTTTGTGAAATGTCTGCTCAAGTTTTTTGTCCATTAAAAATTGTTTTTTTTTAACTTTTGCTTTGGTGTCGTAAGAGTTGTTGGTATATTGTTGGCCTCAAGTCCTTTGTCAGATACCTGTATTGTAAATATTTTGTCTATACCGCCTATAGTCTGTGTCTTACCTTTTCATTTTCTTAATGGTATCCATTAAAAAAAAATCAAAACCAGAAGATATAATTGATATACAATAAAATGCATCAATTTTAATGTACAATTTAATAAATTTTTACAAGTGTATAGCACCCTTGTAATAAGTACTCTAATCAGATACAGAACCTTTTCACGAACCCCCAGAATTTCCTATTCCCAGTCTCTCCTCACCAACTCTCAGGCAACCCCCAGTCTGCTTTCTGTTGTTAAAACTAGATTTGCCTGTGTTAGCCTTGTATATAAATAGAATCAGAGAGTACACATCTTTTTGTGTCTGGCTTCTTTCTCTCAGCATAATGTTTTTGAGACTCATTCATGGTTTTGCATGTATCAGTAGTTCATTCTTTATTATTGCTTTGCTGTATTGGCTAGAAACTCCAGAATCATGTTGGAAAAAAACTGGAGAGAGAGGATATCTTGAATTGTTCCTGATCTCAGGAAAGAGCATTCATTATTTTACCATTAATTAGACATACATTTTTCTTAGATGCACTTGTCAGGTTGAGGAAATTCTGTCTTATTTTTCATTTGCAGAGAGTTTTTATCATCAGTGGATACTATATTTTGGCAAATATGTTTTCTACTTCTATTGAGATGCCCACATGATTTTCCTTTCTTCATTTTATTAACACAGCGAATGGTATTGATTGATCTGTCCATGTTGAATCCATCTTACATTCCTGGGATAAACTCCACTTAGTCATAATATATTATCTTCCTGATATATTGCTCTATTGAATTTGTGGAGGTTTTTGCATCTATGTTTAAGAGGCATATTATATTTAATTTACTTTTCTTATAATCTCCTTGTCAAGCTTTGGTATTGGGAGTATGCTGACCTCATAAAAGGAGTTATGAAGTGTTTCCTCTTTTCTATTTTCTGAATTTGTATAGACTTGGGGCCATTTCCAACTTACTCTTTGCCATTTGATAGAATTTGCCAGTGAAGCCATCTGGACCTGGTGATTGTGTGTACACGTGTGAAGATTTTTAATTATGAATTCAATTCCTTTAATAGATACAGAGACATTCAGATTTTCTATTTTTATTCTTGTGCTAGTTTTGTTAAGTTGTGTTTTTTTCCCAAGGAATTTGTTTATTTCATCTAGATTTTTAAATTTGTTGGCAAAAAGTTATATGTAATATTCTCTTATCATTTTTTAATGTCTGTAGGATCTGTAGTGATGTCTTTTCATGCCCGATTATTGGTATTTTGCATTCTATTTTTCCTTATTGTTAATAACTTCTAATTTCATTATGCTTTGGTCAGAAACATACTCCCCATGGTTTCATTTCTTTAACATTTATTGGGATATTTTTATGATACTGAACCATAAAAATAGATCAATGTTCAATCTTGCTGAATGTTCCACATGCACTTGAAAACTATATGCATTCTGTAACTGTTGGTATACTGTTTTATAAAAGGCAATTGGGTTTAGTTGTTTCATAGTGTTGCTTGGATCTTCTATATCTTTACTAATTTTTTGGTCTACTTATTCATCAATTTATGAGAGAGGAGTGTAAAAATTCCTAACTATGACTATGGGTTTGTCTGTTTCTCCCTTTAGTTTTCTCCATTTTTGCTTTGGGTATTTCTGAAACTTATAAGGCATATGCATAATTAGGATTGCTACCTTTTCCTGATGACTTGATCCTATTATCATTGTGAATAATCATCTCATCCAATGTCTCTGTCTTGAAGTTTACTTTTCCTGACAACAGACATGGCAGCTTTATTCTCCTATTTATCTTTTTCCATCTTTTCTTTTGTTTTCATCCTTTTACTTTAAATGGTCAGAATCTTTATATATTTAAGGTATATCTCTTTTTGAATGTGTTTTTAAGGTACGTCTATTTGAGTGTTGTATTTTATCTGGTCTGACAATCTCTGCCTTTCATTGGAGGGTTTGGTCAATTTAGACTTAATGCAATTCTTGATATAGTTGGGTTGATGTTATCATGTTGTTCTTTGTTTCCTATTTGTCCCCATTTTTATTTCTTCTTTTGTTATCTCTTTTGGAAGGATTAACCCAACTCTTTTTGGGTTAATTAAATATTGTTTTAATAGTTCATTCTGTTTTCTCTATTGACTTTTGATTTATACCTCTTTGTATTATTACTTTTAGCTGTTCTAGGATTTACAATACTCATCCTTAACATCACAATATACCTTGAATTAATATTATACAAGTTTACACGCAATTCTACTTATATTGTTTCTGTGTCATACATTTTACTTCTACCTCTGTTATAAACACTATCATATACTGTTTTGTGTTTTTTTTTGAGCTGGAGTGCAGTGGCATGATCTCGGCTCACTGCAATCTCTGTCTCCTGGGTTCAAGCAATTCTCCTGCCTCAGCCTCCTGAATAGCTGGGACTACAGGCAGGCACCACCATGCCCAGTTAACTTTTGTATTTTTAGTAGAGGCAGAGTTTCATCATGTTGGTCAGGTTGGTCTGCAAGAAGCATTATGAACAATGAAAATGGTACATGTGTGGATAAATATAAAATACATTTTCTTTCTTAACTTCTTCAAAAGTCATTTGATATCATTTCCCATCAGGCTGAATAATTTCTTTTAACATTTTTGTTTCTTTTTTTTTTTAGAATGGGTTTACTTGTGGCAAAATTTCTCAGTTTTCATTGAAATATATAATGTTGGGCTGGGCATGGTGGCTCATGCCTGTAATCCCAACACTTTGGGAGGCAAAGCAGAAGGATTACTTAAGAAAAGGAGTTCAAGACTAGCCTAGGCAACATAGTGATATTGATGGCAGTGGCTGCTGACATCATACCAACTGCAGCAGGGAAGCACAGCTGGTGCTGCATACTCCCTGGAGCCAGTGGGAGCCCTGCCCTTTCTGAGTTAAGACTAGAGCTCCCCAGGCCACTGCAGCCACCCAAACTGCTGCTGCAGACCCAGGCCTCCTGCTCTATGGAGCAAGCAGTTCCCAAACTGCAGCAGCAGGTCCCAGACTCCCTGTGCTCTGAGGGGAGCCGGCAACAGGTAGAATCTGCCTTCCCAGGTGCAGCTGCAGCTGTGGCACCCATGGCCGCAGACCTGGGCCTCCCACTCCAGGAAACAGTCAGGAGCAGGGGGCAAGCGGGAGCCCTGCCCCTTCCAAGTTAGTGGGTGGGAGCTCCCAGGTACAGGACCTGGGCATCTCTGCAGCCTGCACCCTCGGTGGCCCTAGAAAGTACCACCCCTGACCCATCCCTGCAGGCTTATGGGTGTCTTTTCCCACTGCCTACCTCTCTTTGCTCCTGGAGCCTCTTCTGAACTTGGAGGGAGGTTGAAGGCTGAGCCCCAGGGCCATGAATGACAGCAGAAGGCAGATTGATTCCCGGCCAGAAGGAGTCAGGTCCCCAGTAAGTCCCCACCTTCAGAACAGGGAAGGCCTGAAAGCTGTGGACCAGGCTTCCAGTCCTACCCACTGGAGTTGGAACTCAAGTGCCTCTTCCAGGCCCATACATGGCTGCTGATGCATGAATCGGCATGCACTCTCTCCCCTCTGAGGTCCATAAAAGCCCTGGGCTCAGCCAGAGCAGAACGGAGGATCACCAGAGGACTAAGAGGTCAGAGAGATGAGGGGACAGGACAACCAGCTTCACAGAGGAGTACTCTCTCTGCTGATAGTTGGAGGTGATGGGATGACCAGCTGCAGAGAGGAGTACCTTCTGCACTGTGAGCTGCAGAGATGATCTGCCAGCAGAGAGGAGCTACCCTCCAGGGCCTCCTCTCTGCTGAGAGCTGAACACTCGATCGGGTGAGCTGGCTAGAGAGAGGAGCTACCCACTCCTCTGTGCAGTTTTAACTCTAAATAAAACTCTTCGTCTTCAACCTTCACTTGTCTGCATCCTTCGTTCTTCCTGGTTGCTAGACAAGTGCTCAAGCAAAGGAGCATGGCCATAGAGGTTTTCAGCCAGAAAAATAGACACCCTAGAGATCCCATAACAATACCTTGTCTCTAGCAAGTAAAAAAATAGTCGGGTATAGTAATGTACACCTCTGTAGTCTCAGCTACTTAGGAGGCTGAGGTGGGAGGATCTCTTGGGCCCAGGAGTTCAAGGCTACAGTTAGTTATGATTGTGCCACTGCACTCCAGCCTGGGTGACAGAGCATGAGACTCCTCTAAAACAAACACCAAAATCCAAATAAATCCCCGCCCCCCACCGCAATGTCTTAATTTTTTATTTGTTTTTGAAACATTTGGCTGTAGATGGAATTCTAGGTTGATAAGTATTTTCTTCCAGCATTTCAAAGGTGTTATTCCTCTGTGTTCTGGCCTCCACTGTTTCTGATGAGAATCAGTCCTATTCATTTTATTGCTCCCTGCAAGCATTATGACCCTTTTTTCCCTCTGGCTGCCTTTGTGATTTTCCCTCCATCTTCGCTTCTCAGGATTCAAACTACATTATGCTTAAGCATGGTTTTCTTTGTAGTTATCCTGTTTGGGGATTCTTGAGAATCCTGGACCTGTGAAATGATACTTTTGAACAAATTTGAAAAAATATTAGCCAGTGTTTCTTCAACGATTTTTCTGCCTCATTCTGCCTCTCCTCTCTGGGATACCATTTATATGCATATTGGACTACCCGATACTATTTGCAAGTCATTGGGGCGCTGTTCCCTTCCATTAGTCTTTCTTCTTTTTATATAATATTTTAATAATTTTTATTAACCCGTGCTCGAGTTTGGTATTCATTTATTGTTCTGTATCCAATCTTCAGTTGATTCTATACAACAATTTGTAAATTTCAGATAGTGTATTTTTCAGTTCTAGGACTTTCGTTTTTTAAAAAAGTTTTTCATATCTTGACTAAAAGTTTCTCATTATTTACATCTTTTTCTGCAATTATTTAACATTCTTATCATTGTTACTGTAAAGTTGCTGTTTTCTAATTCTGACACTGGGATTATATGGAAATCTATTCTTACAGGTGGTTTATTTTTCTTTTCATGTTTTTTTCTCTTTCTTCATGGTCTAGGAGTTTTTGATTGCATACTGGGAAACAGTCATTTTTATTACATACTGAACATTTAGGATAACTATATTTGGTGACTCAGGGTAGATTATCTTTCTCTGAATACTACTGAGTTTTGTTCTAGCAGGTGGTTGAATTAATGGTGAACTACTTTGATTTTGTGGAGACATTGTTTAAGGCTTTGTTTAGAGATAGGTATATTTTAGTTTTGTCCTTAGTCCTGGGGTTTAGCTCCTGGCCTTGGGATGTAATCTTAACTCCTAAGGAATAACACTTCTGGGTTTATTGGAAAGCCTGAGTTGTTCATCAGGATTTTCTAATTTGCTAAGACTTCCATTGCAGCCTGTCTCCCCATGCAGCGGCAGCAGCTGAAATTACTGCTCAGCTCTTTCAACTGTGGTCATCCCCCTGGGCTTTTCAGACTCTCTCCCTACCCACATACAGTTCAAAGTTCAACTTAGAATTTTAAGGGTGTTTGTGTAAAAATTTGAGGGCTCCTTCTCTGTGGGTCCCTCCTTTCTAGAATTTTCCCTTCTAATTTTCAGCCTTTCTGGCAACTCTGAATACTGATTTCTGGTTCCTTAACTTAATGCTTGCTGGTTTCTGGTTGAGCTCCATCCCCGGTCTTCCCTTAGAACTTTGAAATGCCCTCAAGGGAGAAGTCAGGTAAATAAACGTGTGCTCTCCAGTTTGAGCCTGCTTTCGGTCTCGCTGCAGTGCTGTCAAAGAGTAGTTTTAAAATATTTTGTCCACAGTTTATGATTGCTGTTTCCAGGAGAGTTAGTCTGCGATTAGCTTCTCCACCATTACAGAAAACCAAAAGGCTTTATACTTACTTACTTTAATATTTGCAGGGCTTTTTTTTGAGGTAGATGTTCCTATTATCATGTTATTGATAAGAAAACTGAGTTTCAGGAAGGTTAAGTAGCCTGTGCAAGATCACATACCTTGTGAGGGGCAGAGCCGGTAGACTTCTGATCCTAAACTTGTGCTTGCTTGTGACGCTGTGCCACAATGCCCCGTATGTCAAGGAAATGGATGGAGGGACGGAGAAACCCTCCAAGGAGGACTTTTCAGACTTTATTTAGTTTTCGAGATAGAGTCTTGCTCTCTTGCCCAGGCTGGAATGCAGTGCCATGATCATAGCTCACTGCAGCCTCGAACTCCTGGACTCAAGCAATCTTCCTGCTTCAGCCTCCCAAGGAGTTAGGACTACACGCATGTGCTGCTACAGCCAGCTAATATTTTGAACTTTTTTTTTTTTTTTTTTTTTTTGCAGAGATGGAGTCTTGTTAGGGTCTCAGTCCTCCTGCCTCTGCCTCCTAAAGCCCTGGGATTACAGGTGTGAGCCATCATGCCCAGCCTTTCTTTTGTTTTTATCTAAATGTCCTATTCTTCCTTTCCCATGAAAGTTTGCTCTACTTTATCATATTCCTTTTTCTTGCCAGTTTATGAGCTAAGCAGGCTTTCACAGAGATTTCCTGTATGACTTTGAGTAAGTTACTGCTCCCCTCTGGCCCTTAGTTTCCCATCTGTAAATAGGAAGGAATTGGGGTAGACCACCACCAAGTCCCATTCAAGTGTTGATATTCTCTGGTTTAGAATTGGTTGGATCCCCTGCATTGCTCAATACTGGATTCATGAACACATAATCTGGATTTTGGAAGGACTAATCATGCCTTTTGGGCAGGGACTGGGGGTCTAAAATGATGTAGATTAACTTTGGGGGGGAAACTCATTTCTTTCTCTTCTACTAAATATGTTCTTGCAATGGTTGGACAAGGAATTAAGCTGGTGAAGCTCTGGAGACAGGCCAAGGTTTTTTCAAGGTCAGCCACTTCTTCCTCTTTTTTTGCAGAGGTCATAATTCAGATACCTCACCTACCCTGCTGTGGCTGGTTCATCATTTGCTCTATCAGCATCTCAGAAGCCTCACATACAACAGCAGCTGGAAAATTACTGTGTGCACAGCACAGCACCGACTCTTGCTTACCAATGAGTGTCTGAAAGTGGGTTGGAGTATTTGTTTATCCTGAGTAAGCGAAGCCTCAGGGGGACCCTGAAGCATCATCTCCAAATATTTGAAGGCCTGTCTCAGGGAAGAAGGATTAGATTTGTTTTCTGGCATCCCAAGGGAAAGATAGATGCAAGAATAGTTGTAACAAGGAATGTGGGATGATGATAATGTTAATTTTTGTTGTGGGCACTGTGGTAGGCACATTATAAGCATTGGATAAATTCTGGCTCAACATAAGGAAGAACTTTCTAACCCACCGGTATAATTCAATAATAAAATCACTGTCCTGGGAGTGAGTTCTCCATCACCAGCTCTGTTCAAGCAGAAACTATGCAACTACTTGTCTGGGATGGGAAGAGAGATTGATTCAAGCATTGGGTGTACAGTTAGATCAGATGACTTCCACGGTCTCTTAAGCCCCTGTGTCTCATCACAGACCTAAACTGTATTATTCTAATTTCAGAATGAGAGATAGCAGAATGACCCATGTAGAACCTTGAACTCCACTCTTTCATGAGATAGCTGTATGGCTTTGGGTAAGCTACACAGCCCTATCCCTCAGCCCCAGCTTTAGTTTCCTTATCTGATTCACTAAGTTCAGATAAGGATTCTGATTCACTAAGTTCAGTGCCCAGATGCTAGTAGGTGCTTGCCAAATCTTAGTTCTCATCTCCTTCTCTTAATGAACTTCTTCATGCCTTTCTATCTTTTCATTTATTCAACAAATATCCTGGCCGGGTTCAGTGGCTCATGCCTGTAATCCCAGTACTTTGGGAGGCCGAGGCGGAAGAATCATGAGGTCAGGAGTTTGAGACCAGCCTGACCAACATGATGAAACCCCATCTCTACTAAAAATACAAAAATTAGCTGGGTGTGGTGGCACATGCCTGTAATCTCAGCTACTCAGGAGGCTGAGGCAGGAGAATCGCTTGAACCCAGGAGACAGAGGTTGCAGTGAGCCAAGATGGCGCCACTGTATTCCAGCCTGGGAGACAGAGCAAGACTCCATCTCAAAAACAAAAAACAAGCAAACAAAAAAACAAACAAAAAAATATTCCAGCTTCACCTTTCCACCTTGGATCTCTTTACAATTTGGCTGAAGAGGCCAGCAAGTCTCTTCCCTTTTTGGCTTCAGTTATTTTGAGTTATGTGTCTTGTGATGAAGACTCCTGCCCAGTTCAAACATCCAAGTCAAGCTGTCACCAGGCATGAGTCTATGGGAGTGGAGCTGGGAGAGAGACCTGCACTACAGACTTGAATGTGGGAGTCATTAGTGTGTAATGAAGCTGTGTGGTGGATGAGCTAGCCCAGAGATAGAGGAGAGACACCCAGGATTGAGATGCTCCTGCATGTACTTGACAACTTATCCTCCCCCACC